GAGTAGTTTGAACCCCTGGAATATTCTGAGATTCCCTGAGAATTCCGCCAGCAATTTCTCTTCAGGAATTCCTAGGATTTTCCCAAAAATTTTCACTATAAAACATAAACAATTTGGCTGAACAAAAAATATACAATCTCCCCGAGAATCGGGCGTACCCCAATTTCGCGAAATAACTATTTTTCAGAACCCGAAAAAAAAAATTGTCCCGTATAATAAAATGCGATAAAATGAGTGAGACACAGCTGTCGAAAGCGATTAAATTTTGTTCGTGCGATTCAGGCACATAAAGCCTGAGCAACTCCTGATGTCGGCAAAAAAGGAAAAGGCCTGTCGGGTCGTCCAGTAATTTCGTGAACGAGGGCTTATTTGAAAAAAATACGTCCCTCTCTCAATTTCACTCGGAAATTGCTCTCCCACTGCGCACATTTTCGCTACATTCTCCAGGAGAGGGCTGGAGAGGGAAAAGAAGAAAAAAAAGGAAAAGGGGAAAAAAAATAAGGCGCAAGAGGTCGACCTTGGCCCAGGCGCAAAACGGTATTAACGAGAATTGGGCACGTGTGTAGGAACTACCGACGAGTCCACTGTATCCACCGAATTTTCGCTCAGAAAAAATGAGGGGAATCCCGGTATAATATGAACACCCGCCAAACGGACACCCATTAAAAATTCTTTTGTCCTCAATTTTCAACTATTTTTCCATGATCCAATAAACGAATATAAATAATAATACTCATGCAATTATTATCTTGAATTAATTGTGATAATCATTATTAACAGGCGGAGTTATTCCTAATTGTTTAATTTAATTGCGTGATTTAATCACTGGAAATTACGGGAGATCACTGGAATTTTTGGCTCTGGAAAAATTCTCTCAGAAGTATTTGTTATTTTAGTGAGAATGTTAATCGTTAATTAAAATATTTTCGTTGCACTGCGGAAGTAAAATTGTTATTTAATTGATTTAGCAGATTTTTTTTTTTATGCATTAGGGGCTGCTCTAAATTTTTTGAAATTTCTGAAATTTTCCGGAACAATTCCCAGGATTTACTGGATTTCCAATAATTTATTCCATTGTGTTTAAATAATGAGAGTAAAAATCACTCGACATCCGGTGTTTACTCGCGTTATTGCTCCTCCCTCTTCATTTTGTTTACCGATGTTTGATGGATAAAGTGTTCTGAGAAACATGCGTGTGAAGATTATTATCCGCACTTTTTTTCTGGCGCGACGGTTACGAGATTCGGTGCTTTCAAGTTTTCTAATTGTCGAAAAGGAAGGGAAGAAATTCCGCGAAAAAGCGGTCTTTCAATTACGCGATCATCTCGTTAAACTGCAATTTAAGGAACATTCCAGCAATTGGTCGATTGATGAAATTAATGACAATGAGATAAATAAATATATTTATTTCTCACTTTTTTCA